AACTAAAATTGTGCGGACAAAATCAAAGGACAAATTTTGTACTGACAAAATTTTGTCGCCTCTGTTGCATCCGCACTGAAAAAGGCGATACTGTTAAATCTGTCAAATTCGGTTAACAGCCAAAAATAGCACTGATACTGTAATTCACTGTGATTTTATTTAATTTAGCTTTTCCTTTCCCTTTGCCTTGAGTGGGCACTTCTGAATCTTGTGCCACATCTACTGTTTCATGGTGGGACTCATGAAATGGCGACCGGAAAATCACTCCACCGTTGTATCGTGCCCGGCTGCATCCAGCGCCTGACCTGCTCATAAGACTGGCCGCTATAATTTGCCTATGGATCCAAACTCCAATTACCAGGATTCATCTTAAGTTGTTTGAAGTTGTAAAATCCGCGAGTTTCCCAAGGAATGACAATTGCTGCAATCTTTTGGTAAACTGAACTTAGTTCAATTACCACTGGTGGCGTACACGGGAAACAGATCGACAATTTTAGCATGGTTTTTGTTTATTTAGTCGATTTTGCCAAGGTTTTACCCGGGACAAATTTTTTCGGCGGTGCGTTTGAAAATTTGTCCGCTTCGGCCAAAATTTGTCAAGTCGCGACAAACCATCTGACATTTGTAAAGTGTTGACGACAGAAAATTTGTTTAAATAAACGTATGTCTGCACATCTTATTACTTTAAAGAGCATCATGATAGATGTGTATTGTGTGTTACATAAAGGAATTATCTGAGTGCTTTATTGCTAGTATCTATTTGACCTTTAGGACTAACCCTTTTTTTTAGATAACCGTGGCACATTTACATTGTCGATTCTGACCCCCGGGTCTCAGTAACCTATATTTTTCCGGCCACTAATCTGTTGTGGTTTACGATATAATTCGACAGCAATCCATGTTTTTTTCTGGCATCCCCTATATGTAGTCTTCTTCGCAGCCGTTGTTTGGGCTCGTTACGCAACGCTCACTCACCCACCAGCCACTGGTGGGGGAGGGAGCGCTGCGTGACGAGCCCAAACAACGGCAGCGAAGGAGACTACTCCATATGAAGACTCATTAAAAACCTACCGACCCCTACAGACTCAACTTCCATGAAAGCGTGTATCACTCTCTTAAGATGTGGTTGCTGATTCACCTTTCTCAGTACCGTACATTTGAACGTATGATAGATTGTAAAACAACATGAAATTACTATGCATTGAAAGAATTGTACCATATTAACGAAAGCGTTACTAGGGTAAGAAAACAGGAAAATATCTTATTTTTCAATAACGTGATCTAATTTTCTGTAGCCGGTATTCATGTACACTCTCAGTGAAACATTGTCGACTTTATCGCATCCTTTTATGGATTTAAGGGAAGTTCCACTCAGGGGCTTATTTGTGACTAGCAAACGTCTCCCTTGAAGTTTAACGGGACATCTTTTCACAGTGGGGATTAAAGTTTTTTGACTCATAGCTGGTGGTTAGGTTGATCTGCAGTGATGCAAAGGAATTCCGAAGATTTCCGCCGTTTTTTCGTGCTCCATTCGGATTGAAAAGGTCCTTGAGCACGATGAAGGGCGGTCTTTCCGCGAGAATCTAAGATTACGAAGACTTCTTTTATAACATTGAGACTTTCAAACATCTTTCATTTTGGGTATGAATATTTAATTGTCACCGGCAACCAGCTGATTAAGCTCCTGCTCGCTCAAGTTCGCAAAACTCGAGCTCTAAGCTGGAGGCCCGACAAAAACATTGAGTTCGAAGTTCGGCGGCTCACAAGTATTATCATCCTTATCTTCGGAAAAATCGCCAAATTTGTCCATATTTCACGAGTTAAATACACACAAAAAACAGGAATTATGTTGTGTGTAGTGGCAACATGACGAAAAAGTTGCCATGAAAAAAAAAAGCAAAACAAGCTGACGTCAGCGTGCAACCCACGGGCAAATAGATCGAGCGTNGCGCTCTAGTTACCAATAAACAGGGACTGGCCTGGCCGCCTGTCTTACGGTTTTAGAAATACAAACTTAGACAGTTCGGCAAAGATCTATCAAGATGGAACTGTTCTTCCCGCACCCTCCCGATGCTACCAACCAATCATATAACAGGGACATATAAAAATAAAGTTCAAGCTAAAGCCTCAACAGGCAGTTTATATTCATCCACTGCCATAACCTTCAAGACTGACCTGTGTTGTGCTTGTTGTTTTGTCATTACCGGGATTCTTGCAGACTACAAGCAGAAAAAAGAGTGTTTTACCATGATTTACCTTCCAGGATCCAATTGGTAACTCTCTAGTACTACTTTTATTCGACAATGGGACAAGGTAATTTGGTGTTGGATCAACATAACACCATTAAGCTGACAAGCTTGTCTGTTCTCATAACCTGATTTCAAACAAAACAGTGGAATCGCGAGGAGAAGATGCATGTCAATCACCTCTGGGAGTTAGACTCCGGGGTTAAGAAAAGTAGAAGATAAGAATCCCGGACCGGATCCAAGGAGGAATTATACAAATAATCAAATCTTCTCCGCTTACTTGTGATGATTTTTCGTAATCTTCCAAACTTTTCTTCTTTTGTGACACAAATACCCTTGGGTCGACCACCTTCAAAATGCCATGAGAGGAGTAGAGTTAGTTTTCAATTTTTCATGTTGTCCGACAATTATAGTTTTCTCGTGTCGAGGGAACTGAAAGGTTGTGGTTCGTTCAACTTATATCCCTGAGCTGCTTTTTGGTAATTACTCTTCTCGCCGTTTTCGAATATCAACGGTTTTTCATTTCGCTATCTGATTGGTTAAAAGGGTCCCAAGTCTTCTAGACCAATTGGAAAGCAAGGTAAGACATGCAAAACCAGTGCAATTCAGGATTACTTTCACTAATCAATTAGAAATTTCACCGATTGTGACAGCGATGAAAGATACCCAAAGCCCCCTCAGACCTCCTCGAAACCTCACTAGACATCCCAAGTTAGTTTTTATTGTTTTTAGCGGATGTCCGACATGAAAGCCAATTACTTGAAATCGTTACAAACTAACCAGGTTGGGGAAGGCCAAGGCCGGGAGATGGAGATTGTGGTGCCGCTGTGAAAAGATGAGAAAAATAATTATCAAGCCACGTCTGTTACATCAAGCATTGAGTGGATGTCCGACATGAAAGCCGATTACTTGAGAACGTTACATACTAACCAGGTTGGGGAAGGCCAAGGCCGGGAGATGGAGATTGTGGTGCCCCTGTGAAAAAATGAGAAAAGAATTTATTGAGCCATGTCTGTTGCATCGAGCATTGAGTGGATGTTCGACATGAAAGCCAATTACTTGAAATCATTACAAACTAACTAGGTCGGGGACGGCCAAAGCCAGGAGATTGAAATGAAGGTGAAAAAATGAGAAAAGAATCATAATTGAGCCACGTCCGTTGCACTGAGCTAACGAGACACTGAATCTAATCCGTTCTTAGAATTTTCCATTCTTCTTACAGCGACATGCGACTCGGATGAAGCTATTACCCTGCAACCGCGTTGCTAACCCTTACACCCAGACAGAAAGATACACCCAGTCAAAACCAATTTCAATCTCAATGTAACGCGGCAAGGTGACGAAAACTTTTCATTCACTTAAGGTTGAATTGATTTAAGAGGGGATTACTCTAAAAATCTAGGTGAGATACTCAAGCTTGTAACTGACCCGGCTCAGGTACCGTATTTCCAGCCTTAATTCCTGTAAAAACAGAATTAAAGGTGAAGTCAGCAATATATATGTGAAACGTTAAAAGCGAGCAAATTAAGTAGACAAAGGCGAGCTAAATCCGTCAAAACTATATATAGTTATTACTTAATTGTAACGATGACCGCTCGCATGGGGCGTAAATATAAATTTTTAATGGAAACAGGAGGGATAGTTTCAGACGCTAACGTTGCACCTACAACAGAGTGTACCAATGGTTTATTGTGAATTACACATAGACATAGGCTCACGTGGGAAGTACATGTACAGGTACGAGTGACTCGAATTTCCAATTCTTGTGCTCTTTAATGCAGCATAGGCAAATTCAACGCTTGACTCTATAAACTTTCGCGCTACATCGACAGAAATTAAAAATATAATGACTAATGAACTTACGAGGAAGTAATCGTAAAAAAAACCAACCAGAGCTTTAAATTCGTGACCATGCTCAGAAATCTCAAATCGTGTGACCGAAAAAACAAAGTTATTAATTTTCCATACCAATTCTTGACAGAAAAAGACACAACATTTATATATCATCATCAATTATACTAGGTATTTGCTGGCGTAACACCAACATCTCTCCAGAGTAGCTTCACGCCAGGGTTGATGTACCGACAAAGTCACGTGAACTTACCATCGTAGCCGTACATAAGTTTTGCTTGCTTTATGTCACCTTTACTGGGGCTTTTACGCTGACCAATTTCTGCATTGGGATCCTTAGCCTCTATCGTCATAACACCAGGGCGATTATTGGGCNGAAATTACAATTTTAATTTACTGTTTATCCATTAAACGATAGGTTCTTTTACTTCAAGTTGTAAATACATACATACATACGTTACTTGACCACTCCCGGCATGGGGGCTTTTCAAGGCCAACTCCAACCCATCCCACCCCAGGGGAGGACATCCACTACACAGTAATCGCGTGCGTGGGAAATTAACTTCTCCTACCCCTAACCCTGCAGGAGACGGGCCTACGGTTTATTCGTCCTTATCCGAGAAGACTATAATATCTATCCATTTTTTGATTATAGAGAGGTAGCAAATTCCCCTCACTTATTTTAAGACCATGAGTATCGGTCCGGCCGGAGCTCGAACCCTCGACCTCCCGCACAGCACAATCCGGCGCTCTAAGCAATTGAGCCAACCGGGAGGCGGTTAGCCAACCGGGAGGCGGTAAATAACAATATTTTGAGAAGAAATATACTCAAACTGTCAAAAGTAGCGGCTATGCCTTAAGCTACTTTCGTAATGTTAATTTCACCCTCCACTTACCCCGTCTTGTAAACAAACTCGATGTATCCACTCTCTTGCCCTCTCTTTTTAAATTGGAGACAGGGAACATGATCTTCCCAATCTTTCATCGAGTTTCTGATCAGTTGCCTTCCTCTGTCGTCTGTGTATTTGAAGAAAAAATGTAAACTAAGCCAAATATTAGAATGATTCATGAAGTAAAAGGCGACGCGAAGGACAAAAAGGTTTCGGCTACGATTCATTACCTCAAATGCAACTATGAATACATGTATGAGGCTCTAGACTTGAGTCTGAAGAAAGAAAAGTAAATGATCAGGTACCGATTTGTGGATTTATTTCAAACGGTATAATTCCGTTTGGCCAGAGTTGACGTATATTCCTTATGGCGCCTCTTGTTTGAGCTTCTTGGTTCCAGTCTGCTGCCTTGTTGAAGGTTGGTCGTGACAGCTTAAGAATGTGGACCTGTTGTTTAGTTAATGCCATGTCCCCCTCGTACAGTTCGGGTACATCATCTTTGTAGTCGGGTACTGAAAAATAAACATGAATGAGATGCTGCAGTTTTTTTCTAATAAGACACCCAAACTGATTTCCCTGAATTTTTAGTCAATTGACTGCAGCTCAAGTTTGCAACTTGTACTTAATGTTGGAAAACAAACCAAAAAACAAACCGCTCATCTACGGCTTGTGAGTGATGAAGGAAAACGCACTGAATAAGTGAAAATTGGGAGTGTACTACAAAGAAAAAAACTAAGGTTACTTCATTTAGATTGGAGAAGAGGATAAATATTCGGGTGACTTGCTTATTTATTCAACCATTTGACCTTTTCGATTGCAACAAGCAACCGTTATTAATGCGTTGGTCGGGTAACATTGGATATCGACCTATAGTTTGGTTCGATTTAATTTCGACTTAAATCATTCTCTGTTATCGCTGAGGAAGATCTATATACGAAATCATTTAGCACATGCATGCAGTAATTGTGCGTTTTTTTTACGGAAATAAAAGCTGAAAATTGGAATCTTTGAAATACTCCTTTTACCTCACCAGCCACCTGTTGTTTTAAATAATAGGACGATCTTTTTTTCTATCCTTGCGGGACAGTTTTCGTCAATAATACCATTCGTCTGGCCAAAATTACTTGTAGTTCGAAGGGTTATCTTAGGAACTTAAGAAAAAACTGTTATCATAACTTGAAATGTGGCGTTCATTTCAATGATTTTCTGTCACGTACTGAGTGGAAGCTGTCGCCTGCCGAGCACACCTTAAGACTTGTCTCTGTTATTTTGTTTTATATACATTGTTAGTGTTATTTCTTGTTGATTCTATTGATAATACAGTAAACAGAAAAAAAGGAGCAAATAGGGAAAACAAAGACAAACCTTTCGGCCGAGCGTGTGCAAGGAATATCCCTAGAGGTAGTATCAGCCATTGCTTTAAAAGCAAAGCCATCTCGCCTTATCTCAACGTCATGCAAAATTCATGCCTTTAAATTTAACACCGTAACCTTTTTAGCCGACTTTCACGAGGAAAGGTCAAGATCAGAACTTGACTTGGGAAATAAGGCCCTATCCGCACTAGCAGACAAACCAAAAATTTTGCGGACAAAATCAAAGGACAAATTTTGTACTGGCAAAATTTTGTCTCCTCTGTTGCATCCGCACTGAAAAAGGAGATACTGTTAAGGTGGCTCGTACCAGTTTTCATCTTTTTCATGGTTTGTAACTTTGAAAGAACACAACAGAAAGACTGACCAAGGCCAGTTGAACACTTTTACGGGGTTGAATTACATAATAATTGGTTATCCAAAAATAAGTGTCATTTCGTCACTAGCAGTTTCCATGGCAACGCTTTGATAGGCTTATTCAGACGCATTTTTTAGCTTGTGGCTCAAATAATTCGAAAACTAACCCGCTGACCCCCTGATTTTTTTCAGTGATTGCTTTTGGCACTTGAAAAGGAAAATGCACAAAGATTTTTAAAAAATTCTACGAAGCGGAATTTCAGAAAATCTACAAAAAGAGCAATTTTCACACATCGCAAATTTCCTTCCGTAGAATTTTCTTTTTTTTTTTTCTGATGATTCCTTTCGATGTTATTATCATATTGGAACAATAAAAAGAAGAGGTCACCTGACTTGTTTTCATGCAATAGCTCTCGTGAGTTTAGCAATTTCCACGCGCGTTCTCGCGCATTTAAAAATCTGGATTCTATAAGATCGACATTTGCTCATGATCTGTTTTAGCTACCGCTGACAATTGCGTGTGCTCGCGCGAGCACCTACGATCTGATGTTTACAGACGTTTACTGCTAAGAAAATCATTAAACAGCCGTCAAAGACAGCCTCCCGAGCTCATCTTAAAAATCCTACACATGACTTCTGGCTATATCATATTATTTTCCTTGAAGTTTCAAAGTCTTCTTCCACTTCAGGTAGATTATCCTTCACTTGAGTTCTTCTTTTTTCGCCGTCGCAAGATTTCATATCGGTTGAATATTTCTTTTAAATGTGAAGTGAAGCAACCTTTACTTCTCCGAAAATCGTCTTCGTTATCTTAGTTTCTATCTCCTGCATTCACAGTGGCCGCTCAACACATCAAATACAAGCTCTTAGGTAAACTTCTCACAAAAGTAGAAAAAATTCCACGCGCCGCCATCTTTGTTTTGAATTTTCATCTTTTGATCTCGCGCTTCTTTCGCACGTTTCTCTCGCGCGCGTCACGCAAGAGTGACCTGTTCCCCGCGCGAGGAAACTGGTACGAGCCACCTTAATTCCGTCAGATT